GAATCACAAGGAAGAAAAGTACCATCCAGACAAGATGATTCTATAGGTCAATTTATTGTCCAAATAAAGGGAACATCAGTATAGAAGCTGCTTAATCAAATAGAAGCATGACCAAGAGATCTTCAGTACCTTTTGGAAACTTTTCCCTGTCAGTCTGTTATATGCCAGGGTTGATTCTCATCAAAATTGTGAAGTAGGAGATTTAGCTTTTAATGCACTCCAGTCTCTTCTATCCATGTTCCCTGCTTTTTTCTCTCATAACACTCCCACCCCTCCTTTGGGCACCTATCTCTAATTTATTTTCTCAGAAGTCAGCTAATCTATTAAACTGACAACTTTGTTAAAGTGTTAACTCTTCTTTAAAAGTCCATTAATGTCTGAAGCTTCGGGGAAAGCATTCAAATAATTATAACTGTCCTAAAATGGAATGAATTCTTTCAGTGGTTCATGTGTTCCCTGGAACTGAAAGTCTCCTAGCCAAACATGGATGACCAACTACAGAAATGTTATAGACAAGGGAATGGCTCTTGTCTTATATGTTTATGTCAATTTCCTATATATCTTAGATATTCAGACTTTCTTCAAAGATGTTTGATGCAATTTTTTTTCCAGTTGACAACTTCTCCAAAATACTTTCCCAAAGTTTCCTGTATCTTTTAAAAATTCCTCATGATAATCTGGCACTACTGAAGTCATGGGTTCATCAATCTAGGGCTGAAAAGGATGTGAAAAATTAACTAATCTAACTCTTCTTATTTTAGGGGTGAGGAAGCTGAAACCAGAAATCATATAGATACTGTAGGAATTGGAAAAATTGGTATTCAAAACAAGACCTGATTCCAAATCCTTTTGCTGTACCATACTAAAATCCTCATCATTTGTGTCTCTATATATTACCACATCTGGTTTTCCAATCCGGGCTTTGACTTGGCTTGATCTGTTGATCTAATAGCTTCATTATCCTTATCTTAAATATATTTCTTCAGGTGTTCTTAAAAGAAGATTTTCAATAATAGTAGTACCATGGTAGTAGCCAAAATCAAATTGCAAGGAGTTGAGGACTAAGTGGGGGAAGGCATCTGTCTACCTCTATTAAGTGTGATGCTATAGGCCTGCTCAAGAAGCAGCTAGGTGGCATAATGGATGGAGTGCTGGGCCTTGAGTCAGGAACACCAGAGTTCAAATCAGAACCCCCTTAAGTGGGGAAATAATAGCATTTACCTCTCAGGGTTGATGTAGGGATCAAATGATAAAAGATTTACAAAGTTCCTGGCACATTGTAGGAACTCAAATGGTGTTACTAGAGAGAAGCTGCTTACTCTATAATTTTCAAATTATCTCTCCTGGATCTATTTTCCAGGTCAGTTGTTTTTCCAATGAGATACTTCAATTGTCTTCTATTTTTTCATTCTTTTGGTTTTGTTTTACAATGTCTTGATTTCTCATAAAGTCACTAGCTTCCAATTGCTCCATTCTAATTTTTAAGGAAGTATTTTCTTCAGTGAGCTTTTGGGCTTCCTGTCCCATTTGGCCAATTCTGCTTTTTAAGGCATTCTTTTCATTGGCTTTTTGGACCTCTTTTGCCATTTGGGTTAGGCTATTTTTTAAGGTGTTATTTTCTTCAGTATTTTTTGGGTCTCCTTTAGTAAGCTGTTGACTAGTTTTTCATGATTTTCTTGCATCACTCCCATTTCTCTTCCTAGTTTTTCCTCTACTTCTCTTACTTGCTTCTCAAAATCGTTTTTGAGCTCTTCCATGGCCTGGGACTAATTCATATTTTTCTTAGAGGCTTTGGATGTAGGAGCTTTGACTTTGTTGTCTTCTTCTGGTTGTATGTTTTTATCTTCTTTGTTACCAAAGAAAGATTCTACGGTTTGACTTTTTGCACAGTTTACTCATGATCTCAGCCATTTACTTGAGTTTAAACTCTTTGTTAAGGTAGGGGTCTGCTTCCAGTGCGGAGAATGTACTGTCCCAAGCTTTGTGAGTTTTGTGCAGCTGTTTTCAGAGATACTTCTAGGGACCTGTAAGTTTTCAGTTCTTCCTAGGTGGTATGATCAAGGGCAAGGTGTTTACTCCTTTCGTGGCCTATGCTCTGGTCTGTGGGTGACCACAGGCACTCTTTTCTGCCTTGGAACTGTAAGGAGGATTCTCTCTACAAGCTCTACCATGCCAGCATTCCTCCTTGCCCCAGGATTGCCACCCAGAACTGTGACCCAGACCCAAACACAGGCAAAACAAGAGAATCCTGCCTCAGCATCAGCAAAGAGATCCCTGCAATCCCGCTCTGATCAGCCACTCGATTCCCTCTCAGTCTGTGGGCCAGAAGCCCACTTACTCTAAAAAACTGAAAATTACTGCTCTTTGTAAAGTTTGACCTACATAGAATGCTTAAATTGTATTCACACAATACACCAAACATTTATTGTTCAGTTACAGCTCCATAGGGGTGATAAGCATAAGATGCAGAGACCCTTAGTCCCCTGAAGTCCCTCAGTTCTCTACATCCCTTAAGGAACTTCTGGATAACACAGACCTAGGAAACTTCAGCTTTTTTCACTCTCATTACCTCCTGATTTCTGTCTTTCCCTCACCCACCTTCCTTCTTCCTCTCCTTTTTTTCTCCCAACAAAGAAGTGCAATTGAAATGTAGAAAAAGATCACCAGCCTTACACACTTTAAACAGAATCTTGGCTCAGACTTCATTTTCCTGTGAGTATAAATCAAACAGGTTTTCACAGTTGTTTTTCCACAGCCTTATCATACTTGGATACCTGATGGATTCAGCACCCAAGAAGGGGTTTCCAGTGCTATCTGTTATGGCAGGAGGATAGGGAAAGGACACTTCAGTGAGATTGACATTCACCTTTGGCCTCAACCTCATTGGTCAAATTCAGGTCTGCCCAGTGCCAAGGAAGGGCAGGAGAGATTAAAACTTTTTATCCTGAACAGGCAAGCACATTTGCCTTTGGCTTGGTTCCAGGAGCCTCCAGGCTCCTTGTGTGTAAAGTCTGAAGGTGGCCGCATTGAATAAGAATATCTGTTAGTTTTGCATGACCCTCTAGACCAGATTCTTAACTTTTTTATGTCATGGATGCACCCCTTTGACAATCTGCTAAAATCTGTGGGCCCCTCCTTAAAATAATGATTTTAAATACGTAAAACAAAATACATAGGATTACAAAGCAAACCACTTATGGTGAAATGCAGTAGTCAAAATATTTTTTTTAAAAACCCAAAAGTTCATGGACTCCAGGTTAAGTACCTCTGACCTAGAGTGACCAAAGAAGGTACAGGTCTGATTGAAGTGCTCAGGACTAAAATGTGTGGGGCCTTCTTTCAGCAATTCTGCCAATCATCATTTCCCTTTCAGGACATTTCAGGTTTTGAAAGTCAGAGCCATTTGGCATCACAGATAGAACTTTGGACTTGAACAGGCATCACATTCCACATCAGCCTCCTAGAAGTGAGGACCAATTACCTCATCTTCTGTGTAGTCAGGGACAGAGTAGCTGCCAAAAGGATCCTCTTGTGGCTGAAAAGTCCTCACTCCCACAGTTTGGCCTATTGAGTTTCTAGCCATTTTTTTAAAAGCTCAACTCAAATGCCACCTCTTCTCTGAAGCCTTCCTTTGGTCTATAGCACTTCCCTCACTGCTCCTTGCCCCAGCCCATGGCCTCTGGGATTATGTCCCTTCCTCAGGCTGCCCTGGATATTTGATCCAATTCTGGGATATGAGATATGGAGCTGCCAGTTTGTACCCATTCTTGCTCCCTGCCCTTTGGTATGCATAGCCCGAGGCCAGCAATTCAGTCCCTGAACTGGAAGTCTCATTGGAGTGCCCTCCTGATCACATCTTGTCCTCGGTGGCTGAAGACCTCCCTATACACACTTAGGCTGGAAAAAGTAATATTTCAGGACTCAATATGGTACATTTTCTAGGTCTTTGTGGAGTGGTTGTGAGGGGAGTTGGGCTATATTCCTTTCTTCTACCCTGATTACTATTTTGTGTGTGTGTATATATTGTATTCTGTATTAAGCTATAAGCTCCATGAGGACAAAAGACTAAATCTTATATAAAATTTAATCTCTCCCAGCATGTCATACAGTTCTCTATATATGATATTTGTTTAGCAAAATTGTGTTGAATGAATCCTTATAGAGACAGGCATCTTCCTTTGCTGGAAACAAATAGGATAATAAACTCTCCTTTCCCACACTGAAGAAGGCATGACAATTTAGGCATCGTCTGCCTTCTCTATGCAGTTGCTGAAAGCAGTTTCTATAATAAGGGTAGAGAGCATCTTAGCAGATTACTTAAGCAAGGAAATGACAGACTCATAGGAATGGGAGTTGTGTCAAACAGGAGAAGATACCTTGTTCTAGATTTTTTTAGCTTATTGTGGCTTTCTTCTGGTCCCAGTTAAGGGTAGAATTGCTATGTGAAACAAGGAATAGTGGTCCTCTTTAATAGAGTTTTAGATGTGCACTGAGGTACAAGAGATTATATCGAGAAAAAATGTGGAAATGTAGCCAAAAAAAAAGATAGTTGCCACAGTTTGTAGTATTTGAAAAGATGTTCCTCTCTGAAGTTTCATATTCACATTCAGGCAATTGATCTGAGTGAAATCTTCATTTCAAAATTGTATTTGTGCCCTCTGGGCCTTTCAAAGAATTTGGGGCAGGGGAAGTCAATGGAATTTGGGTCAGTAAACCTGGGACATTAATATGCAAGAAATGAGTTGAGCTCATAGAGCCTGTTTACCATGACATGCATTTTAAGAAGCCTAAGATGATTAAAGAAGTAGTTTTCCTTTCCAATCCCCACAATCTAACCAAGGGTGCAGGGGCATTTTTAACCTCTTCTCCCTTTCTTTTTTCATCTCTTTCAAATTAAAGGTCCCACAGCTAGGACCTTGTGAGATTCAGCTGTCCAAAGCCCTTTGGGTTTCTATACTCCTCAAAAAGAAACTTAAAGTACCTATCATTTATCTTTTCAGGAGCAGCTAACAGCCTTTGATAATGAAGTCAATGCTTTTTTGGACAACATGTTTGGACCTCGAGGTGAGTGAGTTATTTGCCCATGGAATTTCTTCAGTGAACATAATAAAATACCTTTCATTTGTGTAATAATCTATGTAATAAATTATAGAAATAAAGTATTAAATAATAAAATATCAAATTATTGAGTTAAATTAATTAAATAAAATACACAAAAAATTATCTAGTAATTTATAGTTTTCAAATGACTGGTACATCTATTATCTCATTTGATCCTCACAGAAAACCTGTGAAATAGTATAATTACTCCAACATTTTAAAAAGGTACAGGTTGAATTTATTATATGCTTTAAAAGAAAAGCGAGTTGTACATAATAGAGGCCCACAATTTCATGAGCAATCCTTTTTTTCTTTTCTATTGTGTATATGGAAATGCTCATTTTAATTGATGTTTGTTAAGTTCAGAATAAAAATAAAATTTTTTAAAATGTGTTAGCTTACTGAAAGAGAAAAGTAGTTCTGCCAGTGATTTAGGACTTTATTTGCCTCTCTCCTTCTTATTCTTTCTTCTGTACATTAAGGATAAAACACAGAGAGAGAGGTAGATCCTAGAGGCTAGAATCAGGAACTTCCCCCTCTGTGTTATTTGTTGTTTCATTCAAAGTTCTAGCTCTATGTCTAGAGACTATGTGGATGACTTTTAAATTGCCAGTTCCAGAAAGTTTTATTCCACTTTTATAAGTGTGGTTTAAATGGCTCAGATGTTACATAATTTGCTCAAGATCTTTTAGCTACTGGCCCAATGCTCTTCCCACTATATTGTCTTGCCTCTAGGCAGGATTTGCAAGTAATGAACCTAAGTTTCCTCACCCTTGACAGACACATAGTAGCAATCAAGCCTTCTGAGATTCTCATCTTAGAATCAGCTTCTATGGATTAAAGGTGGCATTGCCATGGAATGGATAGCATGATATTAGGCTTGAAACTAGAATGTTTGAATTTGAACCCTAGCTCTGCCAATTGCAGTTTTCACTTTCTTCAGCCCCTTCATTCCTGAAACCCTAGCCTACATGTTATTGGATAAGGCTAAGCCAATTCTAAGACTACTCTAGAATTTAAGAGAATTTTAGAGAAGCCCAGGGTAAGCCTAAAGGCTTCTAGAAAGATGCCTTTGGTCCACCCTAGAGCAAATGTAAACCCTGACAACTCTAGAACTTGTTTAGTCCTTCAGATACTGTCCTCCACCCATCTTCCCAAGGTTGGACTAGAGTTGGATACAGATCCAGGCTGTAGGATAAAGCTAACCTTAAGTATTTCAGGGTCCTAGTTATGAGTATGTATCAATAGAAAGCTTTTTGCTGGAGAAGCATTTTTTCTGGTTTCCTGTATTAAGTTTCCCTGACCCAGTTTCCTTTATCCGTCCCTTTCACCATCTCCCCATTTATTCTTCTCCTTTTCATTTTAAGTCTGCCAGGTACTGTGTCTGGTTACCTAAAACTATAGCATTTTAGAGCTGGAAGACATTATGTAGTCTAACTACTTCATTTGCTAGATGAGGAAACCCAGACCTAGAAAGGTTTAGTGGCTTCCCCAAGGTCACATGACAAGTTAGTTCCTGAACTGAATCTTAGAGACTGAGTTTCTGACTTGAGGCCATTTAACAGCTCTGTCTTGGCTTGTATAATTGCATTCTTTAGAGACTGAAAATTCCCTCCCCTCTACCTAATTTCTGAAACTGGAATCATGGTGGCTTTAGCCAGAACACACCAAAGTTGTTTTTTAATGTAGCACATTCTCTTAGTACAGGCTGCAGGTTGGGTCTTGGCAGGGGGTGAGGGTGCTTACCTAAATTCAAGGTACTTGTGTATCTACACTCCTAAAACTATAGCTAATGAGCCCCTACCAGGGAGCTTAGCTTTAATAGACAATAGGCGCAAGTAGCTGAAAGCAAAGGCATTTATTAAGATGGCTTTTTAAGAAGAGTAGCAATAAAACTTTCTTCTATAAACCTGAGGCACTCTCCCATACAGCCAAAAGAATCGATAGATACATACATAGCAGGGACACACATAGGCAAGATAGTTCACATCTTTTCTCTTCTTATAGTACCCTCATGCTACTCTCTCCTAGATACAGTATCTCTGCTGGGCAGGTTGCTCAGTTGGGCTCCTTACACTTCCTCCTCTTCACATCTTGCCTCGATTTCTAAGGATAATTCTCACTTGAATCCATAGCTGACTGCCTCCTCTGATGCCAGGGCTCACATTCTTTGTAGTCTCTATGGACTCTCTCTTTGGCCTACTCCTTGCTGGGCTTGATATCTCCTCATGGGCAAATAATTCTGATGTAAAGTACCTTAGCTGATGCAGTTGGGGGGATAGAAATCCTCTTCTCTGCCACTGCCCTCTGAAGGCTTAAGGGGAAGAAAGAGAGCAGTTTCCTCACATAGCTGGGTTGTTCCTCCATAGATGGCTATCCTCTAGATTTCCAGGGGTCACATTCTGCAAAGCTCTCCAGCTTCCACTGTCTCAAGAGTTGGCAAGTGGCTAAGCTTCTTCTTTAAAGGCCAGTCTAAAACCAATATTCAGCCAGCCAGTGGCAAGCTACCTTTCTAATTCCATCAAGGAAAAAGTCTTCACACTTTGTAAACATAACAAACTATAGGTACTTCTTTGTACTTCATTTAATACTTTGATGTCTAGTTGTTTCTGTTATCTGTGGGGGTTAAGAATCAATTGATCAAGGTATCCTTACCAACTCTCAATAACACAGTTCTTCTCCTCACTGCAGCTGTTCATTCTCTATCTTCTTTGTTGGATTATCTTTATTTTTTCATCCTCTATTTCCCAAGGTTTAGTCATTGGTTTTCTGCTCTTTTTTCTTTATACACACTCACTTATTCTTATCCACAGCTTCAACTATCAAATGGCTCCCAAAGCTACAGCTATCCCTGTCCTCTCAGGATTCAGTTTCCTCTTATATATCTCATGGTTTAAAACCAAACATCTCATGTTCCCCTAAAAAATATCTCCTTCCAGATTTCTTTTAAAGACAACATTTCCCCAATAATCCCGGTTTAGTCTTATGTCATCATCTTTGACCTCTCTGGCCCCCAATCAATGACCAAAAATATAAATTCTTCCTTTGCAGTTTCTTTCATGTCCATTCCTTCCTTTTATTCCATTCCAGTCCAAACTTTCATTAGTTCAGATCTGAATTAAAATTGCAGCTTCTTCTCTGGTCTCTTAATTCCACCCCCACCCATCTACCCCCACCCCCACCCCCACTCAAATCTGTCCACATTAACTTGAAAACACTTCTTGTCACCCAGAAGACTGGGAGAGGGGGTGTTTTCAGGTGGGTTTTTGTGGGGTTTTTTCAAAGATTTCAATGGGCTTCTATTGCCTAGAGAAGGGGTACGGAACCTGCACCCTTGAGGCCATGTGTGGCCTTCTAGATCCTTGGGTTCTGCCTTTTGTCTGAAGCCAAGTTTTACAGAACAAATCCTTTTTATTAAGGGGATTTGTTCTGTGAAGTTTGGATTCAGTCAAAGGGCCATATTTGAGGACCTAGAGGACCATATGTGGCCTCTAGGCTAAAGGTTCCCCACCCCTGGCCTAGGGGATAAAGTTCAAAATATGTAATCTGGCATTCAGAGCTTTCCATAATCTGTTCGCATTTGACCTCATAGTCTGGCCCCGTTTGACCTCTCCAGCCTTTTTTTCCCCCCCAGGATCACTGATACAAATCTTCTAGTGCATCCAAACAAGTATATTTACTTTCTCCTGAATTTACTTCATTCTTTCCTGCCCCTTTCCCCCTGCCTACAATGCCCTTACCCCATCTGTCCCTCAGTGTAAAATCCTACTTCTTCTTCAAGGACTAGTACAAGGACTGCCTCCTTCAGGAAGACATCTCAACTACTCCAATGCACGATGATCTCTCTTTTCTCTCAACTCAGCATTTATTCATTTGGTAATTAATTATGTACTGCCTTATGACATACCTTATGTTAGTATATTTCTATTAATTCTTGTATTGTTGATTAACTTTGTTTCATTTCTACTACTAGAGAGTAAGCTGTTTGTACTGAGAAATAAGTTACGTTTCATTGCATCCTCTACAGAGCCTAGCATCTAATAAATGCCACTTGCATATTTGTTGATTTCCAAATCTCTGACATAGAATCAGATTGATTTCCAGATGCCAACCCCACATGCTGCTGTGTGCTTGCCTGCATCAGATGTTTCCTGTCCTACATCTTGCATAAAATATATACTCCTCACTTTGCTTGCCATCAATACTGGCAGTACATTGTGATTTGGCTAATGGAGTTTAGAACTTAGGTATGAATGTAGAAGGAAGTCTTGTTGGCCAATACCATGCCTTTGAATCTCTCTATATTCCCTTCTTGCTATGGTCATGTAGAACTTGGGACTTAATAATTTGCAAAACTTTTACAGTTCTAGTGTGTGAGGTCTCAAAAGACTGAGGAACCAGTATTTTAGAGGTCCAGGGGATGGTGGTAGTGGTAGTCCGACTTGGCTGCCACACATTGCCTTCTGCCTCTCTAATGACAAAGACCTGACAGAGCCAGCCCAGAACCCAAGAGCCTAGGGCAAAATAGCAGCAACACTTCCAGGCCAGAACCCTCAGCCATCATTGTGCAAAGCAGCCCCTGTGAAGATGCAGCTGATCTGACAGGTGCCACAGCCACAGCTCCTGAAGACCCAGAAAGGAAAGGTCTTTGTCATCAAAGTCCTTGGCACTGTCAAATGGTTTGATATCAGAAACAGATATGGTTTTAACAGTGAAAGTGACATTAAAGAAGAGGCATCACCATCTGCTTTGCCACTTCACCCTAGTGCTTTGTCTCCTCCATTAGAATGTGAGCTCCTTGAAAGCAGGTACTGTCTCACTTTTCTTTTTGTATCCCCAGGGCTAAGCATAGTGCTTTGCATATAGTAAATGCTTAATAAATGCTTTATTCATTCAATGTGAAAAAATAATAATAACTAGCATTTATATAGCACTTTAAGGTTGACAAAGCACTATACACATTA